CTGCCCCTGCCTCTGGCTCAGCCCCAGCCCCTGCCCCTGCCTCTGGCCCAGCCCCAGCCCCTGCCTCTGGCTCAGCCCCAGCCCCTGCCCCTGCCTCTGGATCAGCCCCAGCACCTGCCTCTGCCTCTGCCTCTGGCTCAGCCCCAGCCCAAGCCCCAGCCCCTGGATCAGCCCCAGCCCCAGCCCCTCCCTCAGGCTCAGCCCCAGCACCTGCTTCTGGATCAGTCCCAGCCCCAGCCCCTCCCTCAGGCTCAGCCCCAGCACTTGCCTCTGGATCAGCCCCAGCACCTGCTTCTGCATCAGTCCCAGCCCCAGCCCCTCCCTCAGGCTCAGCCCCAGCACCTGCCTCTGGATCAGCCACAGCACCTGCTTCTGGATCAGTCCCAGCCCCAGCCCCTCCCTCGGGCTCAGCCCCAGCGCCTGCCTCTGGATCAGCCCCAGCCCCAGGCCCACTTTGCACCCTCTGTCCCAATCGGACCATCTTCTCTTCCACCTGAGATGGGGACCTATGAGGTTTCTTGCCCTGAATCCCAGAAGACACCATCTTTCACCTCAAATGCAATTCAAAACCTGGAATGTCACTTTTTGAAGAAGCAACTAGAAAGGGGCAGGACCTTACCTGCTGTGGTGAAAAGATCTCAGGAAGTCTTTAGCCAAGGTTCTCCCGACCTTCCACAGGATGGCCAGGACCCCCAGGGCCATGGGTCAGTCTCTGTCCTTCCCAGGGACTTGATCAATCCTGAGCTCCGGAAGCAACTGGAGTGGCACCTTTGGAAGAAGTTCATGAAGCACCAAAGTGGCCTGTCCCGCAGGATCCAGCTATCTGTGAAGCTGTTACAGCCTCACAGAGAGTTCCAGAAGGTGCCACAGGCAATCAGCCGGCACAGGCCCGTGTCTGAGTCTGACTCTACAGACGGAAGCTGCCAGGCTACACCGAGGACTGGGTCCAGGTACCCAGCAAAGACCATGCCAAGAAAAAGCCTGGACAAGGATTCAAGCTCTACTGCAGAGAGGATCCAGAAAGATCTACACAGGGGCTCGGCGAGCTCTCCAGGTAAGGCTCCAGGAATAAATTCTGAGGAGTCAGACACAGACTTGAAACCTTCAACAAGCAGTGCAGACAAGAAGCACCCAGAGAAGGTCCTAAGAGCCCATTTGGGCAGGAAGTTGGGACAGATCAGAGAAGGTCAGATCCCTGCGGATGTTCATCGTTCCAGGCTCACTGCCCACCATGCCTTGGACCTTCTCAGAAAGCCAAGCACTCACAGGAAAACTGGAAAGCCAGCATTTTCCAAGGGTTGGGAACCCTACAGGACCACCTCCCACAATTTTTCCATCCTCAGTCCGTACACTCAACGGATGCTGGAAGCACATATTATAAGGTTTCGGGTGAAGCACAGGTGGAGCCTACCCCTCAAGGTCCTCAAGCCTATAAATCTCTTTAAGTTGAAAAAGAGCTTCTCCTTTCCCCGGTCCTCTACTACCCGCTTAGCCACCTGTGTATCTAAGGCATGCTCCAAAACCAAGTTCTTGGGAAAACCTCCTCGGCCCCATCAAGGAGAGGAGGTGGTAAAAGAGTCTTATCCCACCTTGGGGAGTCCTCTCCCTGCTCCCCAGCCTACATGTGAGGAAATCCAGCAGGCCCTGCAAGGGACCTCACCACGTGATGGCCGTGGGCCCTTGGAGGCCCCTCTGGCTGGACAGGAGGCCAGGTCACCTTCTCAGACCCTCGCATACAGCTTTGTGGGCAGAATCTGGCACAGGGAACCTGCCTCAGGGACTCTTATGAATAGCAGCCTGGAGTCAAGTCCAAGTCCAGCAACGGCCACGAGTGAGCCAAGGGAGAGTGGGGGTCGGGCCTCACAAGACTCCTGCTATAGCATAAAAGTGCTAGCGCTCGACTTAGAGTCCCAGTATTTGAGTGCCAAAGAGTCCAGGGAGCCGGGGGAGGTCGAGGAGGCCCCTGCTTGGGGAGTCACCTTGGAACCCAGTGTGTGGGCCAACAACCGAACCATCCGTGCAGATCTGAGAAGATCAGGGTCTTCAGAGAAAAGTGACAGCCCCTCGCCACCTACAGAGTTGTTCGCCCAAGACCCAGAAGAGCTATTCTTTGATGCACAGTTCAGAGAGTTTGAGCTCCGGAAGTTGATGAAGTCAGAGAATCAGCCTCAAGACAATGCCGCCAGCGTGCTCCTTCAAGACTGTGAAACTGGCGTCCTCCTTCAAGACTGTGCCACTGACAGCCTTCTTCAAGACTGTCAGTCCGATGTATTCCTCGCCGCAGACATCTTGGCTTCTCAGGGGTCTCTGTCTGGCTTCCAGAGTGGGTCCAGGGAAGCACCTGGTCCAACTTCCCAGGTGCTGTATGGCCTCAGATCAAGCGGACAGAAAATCCAGAGGCAGTCAGAGCCCCTGGGACTGCGGGACCAGTATAAGAGCCGGAGCAAGTCATCTGTGCCCACTGCTGAGAGAGAGTACTACAGGAGGCCCAGCCGGAGAGAGCCTGAAAAAGAGTTGTCAGGACTAAAGATCCGCCACATCAGGGAGATGAGCCACACTGCCCAGCACAAGGACGCAGTGGAGTCCTCAGGAAGCAAGGCCTGTCAACTCTTGCTGAAAAAGGAGACGGTTCCTCCAGAAAGCTACTTCAGAAGAAGGATGAGGCACTTCATACAGTGTTTTTTTCCCAGTAAAGGCAAAAGAGTGGAAGAGTCCCTTCAAAAAGGCAAGTCTTCATCATCCCGGCGTCGGAGACCAGTCATAGGCAGATCAACTGTGGACAGTGCAACTACCAAGGCTCAGGTGCTCATGACAGCTGTGGGACAGATCCTACAGGAGAAAATGGTGCCTCACCATGGAGTTAGGGCCCCGGAGTTCAGCTGGTGCCAAAGGGATCTCCAGGCTTCAGCAGGTCCCAATGTCTGCTACCACAGAGTCCTCTCCTATCAAGAGCAGAGGAGAGTGATGAGAAAGACAGCTTCCAATCAGCAAGGCACCCCCAAGGGCCACAGCTATGCCAACAAGACCGAGTGGATCAGAAGCAGGGACAATAGGTGGGCCTTCCCAGCCAGGGTGCCGGGGTGCCCAGGCAGGCCCTGCCAGCACGGGTCCATGGTGCCAGGAGCTTCGGGCCGCCCTCTGCACCCCCACTGCCCAAGGCACTGCCTCCTTCAGAGATATGTCTCATCTGGCCAGTCAGTGTGTGCTTCTCATGCCTTTCCTGGTAGGACAGCTTTTCTCCAAGAAAAAATGCAAACGGTGCAGAGAAGAACTTTTTATTCTCATGTTAGCACATCCTCTATGGGCTAATGGCTTCTCTGGACCACAGTTTTTATTGTTTCCCCAAAATAAATGTTTTTTTCTCATGAGAGATGCTGGCCCCTGTCTGTGCCCCGCTCGGGGGAAGGGAAGGATCAAGGTCTGCTCTCCCCGAGTGCCTGCTTTGGCTTCCAGAGGGATGGGGCCTTGGAGGGAGGGGGACCGTGCGCTACACCCCACCCCCTCCCTCACACGCCTTCGGTTTCCACGACAAGATGAAGGAGACCAAGACCAGCATCTGGCTCCTCCCGTCCTCTCCTGCGTTCTCTCTACCTTGAACTTGGGTGGCTGTAGGGAGGGTCTGCAGAGGCAGAAACCCCCCTCGGGCTCCAGGACGTGTGGAAGACAGAGTCCTCTGTCAGAGCGGGGCGTGGAGCTTGGAGGTGCGAGGTTGGCCCTGAGCGCAGAGGAGGGGGAAGTCCTGCTGCCCGTCTCCTGGGGGAGCAGGGGACGGCCACCCAGGAGCCCTTCCCTCCCCGATGAAGCTGGGTTGACATCGGCCGGGAGCCCCTCTTAGCTCAGTGTCCCCCCCCCCCATGCTCTGGAGCAGCAAGGGCGGAGCATGCTCACGGCCCTGGGGGTGTGCAGGTGGGGAGCACAGAGGCCCCTGCGCCCCAGGCGGCCCTACCCCAGGCCAGGGACGGGGCTGCTCACCAGCCACCCCTTCCCCTTCTGGGGGATGGAGCAGGGGTGTGGCTGGGAGGCAGAGGGACACTGCACCTGGGGGGGGACTCCAGGCAGGAGGCCGAGCGACATGGCGTGCCCCTCCCTGGTGTGACGACCGAGGACTCGCGGGGTCCCACTGCCACCTCCAGGCCCAGTGGAGAGAAGTTAGGAGGCCCCGCTCCCGGCCCGACGGCCTCCTCCGGGGGCCCACACACATCGCTCCTGTGGGCGGGAGCCCTGCTCCGGGAGGAGCCCCGACCCGACGGCAGCAGGCACGGCCCTGCCGCGGGCCCTCAGGACCCCACGCGCGCGGGGGCACCGGGCGGCGGGGCGCAGCGGGCGCAGGCCTGCTCCGCCGCAGCTTCTCTCTGGCGCCCCGTCCTGCCCCGAGGCGCCCAGGGTGGGCCCAGCGCGGAGCCCGCGCACAGGACCCAGGGGAGGAGGGAGCAGGGCAGGGGGCGCGCGGGGCCCTCAGGAGCTCGGGGCGGGCGGCCCAAGGCCGGGTCCCTGAGCCTGGCGGCTGCTAGGTCCTCCCAGGGGCAGCAGCAGGGGGGTCGGGAGGTGGGGAACCAGACGTGCACCCCACGCTCCTGCCGGGAGAGGAGCCACGGACAGGGTGCTGGTGGAACAGCCAGAAACAGGAAGGAGCAAGGCCCTCGGCCCCTCTCCTGCCAGACGGTGCAGAGACCCCGCCAGACCCGCGCGGAGACCCCCGACAGACCCACACAGAGACCCCCGACAGAGACCCCCGACAGACCCGCGCGGAGACCCCCGACAGACCCGCACGGAGACCTCTGACAGACACACACGGAGACCCTCACAGATCCACGCGGAGACCCTCACAGACCCACGCGGAGACCCCTGACAGACCCGCACAGAGACCTCACACAGAGACCTCTGACAGACCCACACAGAGACCCCACGCAGAGAGCTCTGACAGAGACCCACACGGAGACCTCTGACAGAGACCCCATACAGAGACCTCCCACGGAGACCTACACCATGACCCCACACACAGACCCCATACAGAGATCCCACAAAGAGAACCCACAGCAAGACCCTACACAAAGACCTCCCATAGAGACTCACACCCTGAGACCCACAGAAATACCTATCTCACAGATCCACACAGAGAGACCTCACATCCAAGGACCCCACACTGAGAGAACACCCGCAGAGACGAACACTGGGAAATCCCGCACAGAGCCTCCTCTCTGAGAGGTCCCACACAGAGCGTGACACCTCAGAGTCACTCTTTAGGAGCCGAGCAGCCACACAGTGACAGGACCTTCATAGTGGATCTGAAACCACTTAGCAAACTGCAGTGCAGGATGAGGCTGCGCCCGCCTGAGAACCCCAGACTCTGGGACATTGTCAGCATTTTCCCACATGGGGCTCTCCGCCTGGGGAAAGCCTCATGAATGTTTATCCTTTCGCTAGGTCCTTGACCCCGAGCAAAAGAATTACAGATTCCTCCTGTAGATCTGCACACTCTCCCCTCCACAGGTTTTCATTAGCTTGTTCGAACCACAGTTTAGAGAAAGGAAAGCACAAGCCAAATGCCGCCAACCTCCAATGAAAGAACATATCTTGTCGAGTTTTACTAACGTCTAGTCAAAGGATGTCCGCGTCATATTTTTTGGAGACAAGATCTGAATTCAAGATGGCTGACTTCCTTACTTTGGAAACATGGTAAAGGCTTGTGGCAAGTCGGCTGGAGGAATAAAATAAACCAGCAAAAATCTGGACTCTCACTTCCCAGGGGGCTGGGATGTTATTTCGCACATAATAGCTGTGTCAGGTTTGTGAGCTTTGTCTTATTTTTAAAGGAAACAGGCTCACAGTTATGTGAAGATTTTTACAAATGAGTCAGGTATCTAAAGATATTTCTATTTTATCCTCTGGTAAAAATTATACTTCTTAAATTTTTTTCCTTAAAATGTGGTAACGCCCTCAAATGAGATTACACATATTTCCAGATGTGACAAAGTCTTAATGTTCAGGCTAGCTTAAACTGATGTACTACTTGGGAGGATTCCCTTTTTAAATAATTCTTTTAAAAATGCACATTTTGCGAGACTCAGGCAATCAGGCTCCATTTTGTATTCATTATAGGGCTAAAAAAGGACACATTGTTTCAAAGAGTTAGAAAACTTACAAAATATATCATTTAATCCACAAGATATGCACATGAGCTAATTACTAGAAGGGACATCTTCATATCTAAAGTGAAGGAAGTGTACATTAATAAAGTGTACATTAATGTACAGAAAAAGTGTACACTAATCATCAAAATCCTCACATTATAGAACTAACACTTTCCAAAGGGTGCATTTTAATGAGAGTATATGCATATTTCTTGCTACTCATAAGCAACTCGCTTTTCTTGCCTTGTTAAAATCTATTTTAATGACCGCTGCCAAGGATGTGTCCCTGGTTAAGTCTCTCAGATGATCCATCGGGATGACAGGGTCAGTCTTCGTTAAGAGAAGCAGAGCTAACATGGAAGCTCTTTGGCCCATTTATTTCGACAAGAAATGCCCTTCTATTCTCCCTTACTCCCTTACGTCATTGAATCACAAAATGATGGAATATGGTCGTGGATGTCTTATCGTATTGGATAGTATTTTTTATTTTTTAGTGTAGCTAATGCAGAACAGGTTACTGATCAGAACAAAATGGGGCCAATTAGGAAAATTTTCGTCCAGGAAATGCTTTACAAAGAGCAGTATATCCTTTCCTAGTTGACTCAATCAGATTTAAGGGAGTTATTATTATTCAGTCTTTTGAATTAAAGTCGTTCAGCGTAGCCATGAAGTCTGCAAACATACAGAAACGTCCATAATAGTTTATCCCTATGACATGTGAATGTGTTTCCCTCACTAACAATTCATGGTTCAGTAAACTGTGTAAAATTTCAATGAACTAATGTGCACTAAAGCAACATTCCCATCAGTTACGGCACGCACACCCGTCATAGGTAGCCTCCGATGATTTGTGGGTACAATTGCTACCACATAAACTTGTACCTTCACCCTAGAAGAAACAGTTAAGAGGGTTCAATCTATTAGAAAAACACTGAATATTTCCAGACTTCATGGCTCCCTGTATTTTATTTTTAACAAGATTCACCTCCTGTAAGTCTTATGAACATTTCACCATTTATAGATACCAAACAGAAATGGAAATCAAAAACTAAACATAATGGAGGAAATAACAAACACAGATCTCCATTTTGCTAAAAATGAAGTTATTTTTAATCCACCAGGCTCTCTACATGCTATTCAGGATATGTTACAAGCTTAGTTTTGAAAACAATTTATATTTAAAACAGGCCTCACACTGATTTCCATAAATCAGGTATTTGAGAACAAAATGTGGAGGGTGGCAATTATGTGATAATTTTTTATTACTCCACAGGGTAAAGATCTTTTCCCAAAAGGCAAAAAAAAAAAAAAAAAAAAATGTATTCAGTCTACAGTGTTCACCCTTAAGAGCGTTCCTCTTAATAGGCCACCAAAGTTTCATACGCTTTTACTTTATCACCAGAAACTTCCGGAAGTGTTCCCAAATACACACAGCTCCACTTTCTGTGGTGCTCACAGCATGGGGGCACCGTAGAGAACATCCAGATCCAGAGGATTTCCCAACGGTTGCCACCTCTCGGAGGGGGGTCAGATACATAATCATTTCCAGGAACAGGATCGGTGTTCAGAATCGAGCCCGTGGCCACGTGCATGGCTGCTTTTCCCACACAGAGGCGGGTCTCCGTGACTCGGGTGTGCCGGGGAGCCGTCCCTGGTCCTGCCCCCGCGTCCTGCGCTATGGTAACCGGGAGAGCCCATGTCAGGCACCGGTGCTCTCGATGGCCACACTGTACCACGGAGGAAAGGAACTTCAGATAAGTATAAAATAGTGCACGCCAGGCAGGGTAGCACCTCTCACGGCAAAAGTGGGGGACAGGGTTCTCCGGCTGGAAGCATGTCCGTGCGGTCTTTCCCCACTCACCGTAAGGACGTCTGCAGCTCCGCCTCACTCCTCTGAGTCCAGAAACTGGACGCACCCCCACGTGCTCCCTGTGGCTTCCACAACCTGTGCCACGTGCTCCCTGTGGCTTCCACAACCTGTGCCATTTACTTCCAACGACTACTTCAGCCAGAAGTCCAGCCAGATGGACCTCTTTCAGCTCAGGCACTGCCCCTAAATCTCAGAAGCCAGACCACCATCCTTCCTTCTTCTTACACCTGCCGTAACTTTATGCCGCTAACCCTTCCCACGCCCATGTCCAGCGTCAGTAAATCCTCTGCAGAGCGTGTGCATTTATTCTGCAGTGTGTGTCCCCCGAGTGAGCTAAACTTTCCACTTACCAGTTCTGTGACTTGGGCAAGTCACCCAGTGCCCCCAGACTTCATTTCCTTGACCCGGAAAATGGGGATCCAAGTTAATAGCATTGCAGCGAAGGGAAAATGAGTTCAAACTGTGAAACACTTTGCTTAGCAAGTATTGAATGCTGTTGCTATTATTGCTTATTAGTTTTTATGTTTCATGTTTTCATACTATTATTTCCAAGTCATTTTCATCTGTAAAACTAAGTACACACAATTAGTTATTTTTTACAGAATTAAATGTTTTCTTAAACATTTTATTTATTCATTTGAGACACAGAGATACAGAGAGAGAGAGAGCATAACCAGGGAGAGAGGCAGAGGGAGAAGCAGGCTCCCCGCCGAGCCAGGAGCCCGAAGTGGGGCTCAATCATGACCCGAGCCGAAGGCAGACGCTTAACCATCTGAGCCACCCAGGCGCCCCTTACAGAATTAAATATTCTCACACAAAAGCTAGTGTTTTTTAATGTATTAAAAATCAAAAACCCTCTCTGAGAAAGTAAACAATGTTCTTTCAAGTAATCTCCAAATCATTTTTTTGCAACACAGTGTTTAGTAGGTCTTTCCTAATTCATTCTGATTGTAAAGGACTCTGTAACCCCAAAGCTGTTCCTTCATTTGCCTTGAACAAGCTGGACTCCTGTGGTAGTTCAAAACCAACTCTGTTCTCTCCATCTGCCTGTTCACACCTGCTCCTGGGTGCTGGTCCCCCCACCTTGGGTGAAATCGGGGGGTCCTCTGGTTATCTTCAGTAACAAGAGAAGGTCTGGTTTCAGGCATTAAATCACACAGTCCCGGGTAGGAGTCAAAACGCCAAGCTGCATCTCAACACGATGTTTCCGTCCTCCGGGAGAGCAGCCTGACCTCGACGGGATGCTAGTGTGGGAGCCGCAGGAACGCACGGACTTCTCCATCCGCGCTTGGTGCCGCTTCGTCTTCCCAGCCGTGCCCACCGCCCTCACCTGCTTACCCATCTCGGGTTCGGACCGCTCACCGCCCAGCACGGGCTGGGGGAGTCGAAGAGCAAGAAGGCTCCTGTGGCCAGCACCGCACTGCCGCCAGCCCACAGCGGTGCCCCCGGGACTTGGCAGGGGGCAGAGTGGATTTCCTCTCGTAGGCATTTTGTGCTGTTTCCAGAGCCCTGCACCTGCCGTTCTTTGCAGCAAGGACCAGCGCCTCAGCCAGCCGGGCCCCACGGTGCCCCCATCACGGGGCAGCGGTCTTGCTGTTCCCATGGCCTCCCCTCTCCGGCCGGGCCACAGTGGTTCCTCTGGATCGCCGTCCACCCCGGGAGAGCACTTACTCCCTAAAGCAACCCCTGGCCCCGGATGTCTCGAGGATGGCCAGTCATGCCCTGGGTCCCCAAACGCCAAGGGGACGTGAGCAGGTTTCCAGAGTTGGTTCCTGGATGCC